CAGTGTTTATCTGAAAGGTTGCAAACGCGCCCATATGAGTGGATAAAACTTATTTGGCCTTGTACAAATTTCTATGGCGTTGTGTGCTGCATTGATGAAGTCATTGACTTATCTATAAACAATTTCGCGGTACTTCTTGCGGTGCCTTGAATGCTTTTGATGAGTGGTTGAGAATCAGGTTTTAACTAGCAGGTCAGCATTTCTATGCCCATCATTTCTAAGCCCATAGGAATGGTTTCTTCGTAATTTGCCCTTTGAAGTCCAGTCATCCTCTTGTCTACCGGAAAAGCCGTTTATGCTACATCCACTTGCGACAGTTGGGCAGCGTTTGGCTGAATGTGTCCAAGGCACTCAACCGTCTGGATCCTCGCACCATACTTTACGTGCTCCAAAGCTCCGGAACAAGTCATGCATTATGTGCATTGCAGACTAGCAAAAATTGCAAATTCTCATGTTTTCATCAGCATCTATTCACTAATCAGTGCAGATCTAGACACTAATTTCAAACTCACTGTTCATCCATTTACGTCTACCCACATCATTAAATCCGGTGAGGACCGCCGTTTATTCTCACCACTATGTTTATTTGATGCATTGCAATTACAAAATACTGCCGTGTGTAAAGTGTGAGTGCCGCGTTAGAATGCCACCGTCGTTTCCTCTTTATTTCGTCTTTCAATTTCGTCTTTGTTTTCGTTAGAGCAATCATCTCCCGAACGTGTTTATGCCATCCATTCAGTTATCACAAGCTCCGACCTCTGTCAGCAGCTATGACAACGCAGTTAAGCTCGCCAATATGTGTAATTCAGGTGTACCCTCTACCAGGCCACAAATAATACTACGTGGTGGTGATGATGATACTGTACATCCGCCTACAAAGAATCTGTTTTGCCTTTCTGAGCGATTTCCTCACTCATGTATTTGGTAAGGTGCAGGTAGCTCCGGTGAATTATTTGGGTAATCGTATGCCAAGACTACTTGGTATCATGACACCGATCTAGAAGTTAACGCACAAACGATTACAGTGGAGTTGGAGAAAAGAACAACAAAATAGTTTTTGCAACTAATAAGCATTTTATCAGAAACGCGCCTGTACTCGGATATTGCGATCCAACGCAGTCATATGGGGTACAGTGTGACACTAGCCAGGGCGAACAAGTTTCTGCTATTTTACAGAATAAAAATCTTTGCATTTCCGCGGTTGAGCAATCACCGTGACCAACCATCGCTATGCGCAGATTGTGAAATGTTTCTGAGGGTAGTCTATGCCATTGTTAACATACGTTACGTAGAATGACATATGTGTATACAGAAAACCAACCACTTGTGTCGATAGCCAGTAAACCGCTGCACATCGTTCCCCTTCGTGCTTAACGCACAAGTATCTGGCTACAAAATTACGATGTGAATATTGTGTATATACCTGGTTCACAGATTTTCATCGCGGATACGTTGTCAATAGCTCAGTTGACGGTAGCCGATTAAAATCCGGTAGGTGTCAAAACAATAAAACTAGTACAGCATCTGGTAGGACGGAATATCGTCCAAAAGTAGAAAAGGTGCCATGTAGAATAAGTTGCAACCGGTACAGCTTTATGAGACATTCTACTAAATTGTTAACGACACACAAACGAATATGTGCCGCAGAAACAAACATCCTACTTCAATTTTCAAGATGAACTCTCTATTTATAATGATCTGCTCTGATCCGGTCATTGTTACAAGAAAGTTTACTGAAATACGTCCGTCATACTCACCTGGGTGCCACTTATATCATTAATAGAGCAAGAGAATTGATATTTGGCCCGGGAATGACAGGTCAAATCAGGATCGTGTGTTGAATTGTGAGACGTACGTTCACACGAAATCCGGTAGACGAGGGAACTAATGCTGCTGCATGGTACCCTTGATTAACCGGAGCAGTAGATGGAGTGGATGATCTGCGACAACTCAAAAAATTACTTAAGCAATGTTGGTCACCATAGTGATTAACTGAGATCGATTGGCGGCATTGGTCACAATGCTCAGATGTCCATTCGCGCAGAACGAAATACTGGAAGAGATGGCCTAGGTTCATGAAACCCAGTTTACCAGTGTTGCTTTCCATGCCTTCGCAACAAAGTGAGAATTCGTGCAACGGCAAACGAGCCCGTAATACCTTGTAAAGCAAATGGAAAGTTGGAGTTGGCGGTGCAGCAGGCCAGGCGTACATTAACGAACGCTAGAGCTACTCGCTAAGACCCGTGTCCCATGCTATTGGTGAAACACAACGTTTCTTATATGAATATCTGTTTGCGCCCCACGTGACGACTATAAAAGCAAAGGAGGCGAACACTGATGTCGGCATTTGTCACACATTTGCGCCCAGTTTCGCCACAGCATGAGAGGCAGCAAAACAGTCTAAGACCAATGAGCCCCCAGAATCGGTACTCCGACTGTGTTGCACGGGAACTACCTGAGCTAATAGTACCCAATGGTTAAGAACATTGGAAGAAAGGTGTGGTGACTGCTTAGGTAGATACATGGTTATACGAAATAAATTTTGGACAGAAAATATTCAGAAGAGATAGAGTGCATTTGAGACGAGACTAGAGACAAGAACGTTTGGAAATGGAGCGCCCTATGACATGTGACTTAGAGTTCACGACTGGAGATACAGTGAAGACGACGCGGGGTGGCTATGTGTGCATGGTGCACGGCAATGTGGAGGCTCAAGACAAGAGAGTAGCGTACCAGTCGAGCGAATGGATCAACCAAGCGTGCCAGACCGCCAATGAGAGATAGGCAAAACAGATCGCTTACTTGGGCACATTGGCCGACATTCGTGTGATGTACTCACCGTTTGTTTAACTGAGTCAAAGGAGAAAACTCATCTACTCAGAAGTGTCGTTAGTGCGATTTACATCGAAGAGTTTGGCTTCTCAAACACATTTTGATGTACATATATTTCAATTGCTATATGCTCTGAGAAAATGTGCTAGCACATAGATAATATTAGGGCTGGCGACAATAAGCCAACAACCAATAATATTAGGCAAATATACGCATTGTACAAGGAAAGGGATTTAGTTAGTTTCCATAGTTAAGCAATTGATCTTCACTATACATAGGCAGAAGAACTTGGGGCTTCCAGTATATGTTTTTATTGCTGACCTTAGAATGTAACCTTTAGGCGTGTAATTAACAAAGAAGTGATGTCGTATCCATTTCCCGTTATCCTTCTATTTGCCAAGGCCGCTTTGGTTATTGTGATGGCATCTGTTTCATCCGACTCGAAGTGCATGAAAAAGACTCCCTTCACATATCTACGGCGTGGACCGGTTACAACACAAGTAAAGTTCTTGTAGCCTGTTATTTTTTCAGTATTCGCCAATTTCTCGTACTTGTTGATTCAAAACAGCCAGTGGGGAAAGTACAATATTTTCATTAGTACGATACATTTGTTACAGAAGTATGCATTATGCTTGAGGGAATCTGTTTTATGTATGGAACATTTTAAATGAATAGCTATTTGTTTCATGTTTTATTTATCTTTTGTATATGAATCCAACTTGCACTTAGAAAAGTATACTCCTGGGCTAGCAAAATTGGGTGTGAAATTCAAGGACACATACATAGCTCTACATGCCGCTTTCTTTTTATGAATATCACTTCAACAATAGTTCCATCAGGCTGTCTTATTCTTCCAGGGATTTAATAAGGAATGCTATAGCTTTTAAATTATCCGAGGTGTGTATACAGTCAAATGGTCCATAACGTGTCATAGAGGAACCTGTGTGTCCTCCGCGAAGTTAACTTTGCTGATTGGGCAAATGTTCTTGTTCAGTTGATGTTTGCCACGTATTTTAAGCCAAGCTGTAGCGATTACGCAAAACCACTAAACAATAGAAAACTAGCAAACAAATTGCAACTTGAACTACTTTGCGCGCCAATCGTGTATTGCGACAGGTCTATTCTGATTTTTGAGTTAACAGTGCATTATCTTGCGAGCAGTTGCATTGCCCCGATTAATCGATTTGGGCACCGCCGTCATCTAATAATCCTGAGTGACTACATTGAATACCACAGCGAAAAGTACCCATGAAAACATTTCAAACTGTTGCTTACTCTTGAGCAGGTTGTCTCCGCAATATGCATCACCTCAGTTGCAGTGCCATATCTACCAGGCCATTCGACTGTTAAATCATTTCCGAAGGATCCCGTAGAAATTCGGATGGCTGAATTAGATTGACAATATCAGGAGTGCAAAAAGTAGAAGCACATTAATTGTCAAAAGAAAACGGTTGATGTTAGTTTTCTAGTGTGAATGATGCGCATGTTTGGCCGTGCTCGAGATGTATATGCTAGCAGGTAGCTATGAGTTTCATTCAGTCACCTTCCATGATAATACTACCACGCAGACAATATAGGTGCAAACCGCTGATAGTTTGGGCCAGCTGGTTTAGCGCAAGGGGAAAGTCGCACTTGAGCTACGGGCAATTTCATGACATACAATCGCAAGAGTATAGTCAGCTGAGTTGGACTGCTCACTCACGTGAACGATGCGAGCTGTGCTGCTTAGTATTGCCGAGTCAGTTCCCACGGACTAACACCTTTCTGATTGCAACTGGGATGGTATCCACTAATTCCACAGAAGCGAGATTAAATGGGGGAGTAGTGGCTTGTTCTATAACCTGTGTAGTTTAGCTGTCATTTGTTGCTATGAATCCCGGTATGGTAGAACAACTTACTTGCATACCCATCACCGATGACAGTCTCTGTAAAAGAATAAAGCTTTCAGCTTGCCCGCCAAAACGTCGTGGCTTCAAATGGTATATCGAAGTACGCCACCCTGTTACGTTCATTTCCATTAGGATAATTAGTGGATTCAATCCACTCTAATTAGGTGACTGATAACTGCGGAATACCTAGCACATTGATGAATTTAAGCATTACTTATGGCAATGCAATTGGTGTACGAATGTAGCTATAGTATCAGAAAATACAAGATTGTTGTGATATCATTTAAACAATTGGGACCAATTTACCAAGTGTGACTGCAGTTCAGAGCATATGATTTTTGAGTCATTTCTCTGTTTTTCACATTCCGAAAACAATTCCATTACAAAAGTATACAGTTCAGCAGATCCTTTATTCTCTATCTTGACAGTGACGTGAGTTCGATTAGGAGGGGCAATTAATGAAGAAAAGCCACACCCGACCGTATCGTATGGCACGCCAATCTTTGATGAAATTGAAACGCGGAGCTGAAATAGCGTGACAAATAATGGCTAACCAATGGGTTTACAGTGATCGACCAGAATATATTTTATCACGCATATCCCAAACGTTAAGACATGAAGTCAGTAGGTGGGGCAAAGTGAGAAATTATCCTTAATTATCTGGACAAGGCATGCTATTCCTATATCAGTTATATTTTGATGTGATTGCTATACGCCTGTAGACAAGAACTTAAAGCAATACTGTTTACCTTGGTGCAAACATCTTCAAACTGTCCAGCTACTGGATGGTCTTCCAGTTCCCGTTTATTATTAATGGTAACAGATTACCATCCTTCAGGAGTACTCCGGTTATCTCTATGCCTGTAAGGAAAAGAGATAATGAAGTTAACATTGAAAAGCAGACAATTTCACACGGCTATCCGGCAGAAAGTATTTGATTATTTTAACTAGGAACGTGTGCACTGGCTCTTATGCGATTCCTTTAATATTCAGATGGCTTTTGCCATAAACTTATGGAGCAATGAATAATTTAGAGACAACTAACCTGGTAGAGAAGTTAACATATTATAAACAGCGGGTTTGCAGTGATCAGTTAAAGACGCACAAGCCGCCATTGTAAACTCACCATGTAGCCGCATTTGTTGGCATGGCGCAAACGCAATTGCTGTTGAACGAAAGAGGTAGTGTTCATGAGGTGTACATTATTAGAAATCATTAGGCGAATCAGATTTTTTGAGTTGCAGTAAGTCAGAATGTCTAAGTAAACTGCTGATTTTGCTAAATCGGTGAATTTTGAATATCAGGGTCTCGAATGTGAGTGAAGGTCGAATAGTGTAGCACTTGTTTTCGGCGAGAAGCATTTCCACAATGCGCTTGTTACGCATATAAACGTCATTTACTCGAGCTATCAGACACAATTCCTCGCTGCAACGAGCAGCTTATTCTAACGGCACTTCCGAATGGCATAAAGAAACAACTACATAGTCGAAGGGCTGAGTTAATCCTGGGTAGAACCTCAATTTTTCTTTCGTGTGGATTGCATGCGTGACATTTATTGTGATGTGCGCATGTTCTCATCGCTTTAATTAGCCGTTTCATATTTTGAAAGCAAATGACATGATTGTGTCGCAACGGCACGTATGTACTTCTTTCCACTAAAGACTACCGTGGGTGCGCGCAGAGCGAATACAAAAGTTAGCAGTTTTGATTTTTACTATTGGTCTAGTACTTTTCGTATGGGAGTGTATGATATTTTTAGCCCAAACGGTTCCGTAGTGAAATGTCATCACCTAATAATCAGCATCGGATGGCAAATTGTATGCTCAGAATTCCTCACAAAACTTACCAAGTAGTAGTAAACCTCCTGACGGGAATATCATGGTGGTTAGGTAGTATTTAATTGGGGTTGTGGCACGCATCCAATTTATATACTCGCCACATGTGCGTCACATAAACGAGAATTGATTTGCTAACTCTGTGCTCCAATTAGGTAACTGACAGTACCTATCTGACACACCCGCACGTAGGGCGTCAATCTGATTGACGGCGGAGTATCTTTGAAGTCTAGCGCTGCTTAACGAAACGAATGGCGGTCCATGTCCAACAAGTTAGCCCCAGACGCTTTAACGATGTGGATCTTTCTATAACAGCTACACACACATCTGCCATGGAATAACAATGGCGGGAGTTTACTTTAGGCCTCCACTCTGCCGAACATCCCGTCTGATTTTAAGACACGGATGGTTATTGTTTACCATATTTCGTATTACAGATGAATTTCGCTTCTTTCTTGGCTCACTTTTCCTTTAAAAGACGGGACGCAAGTATAATTGGAGTATATGGAAGTAGTATTAGATAGATAATACTAACAATAAACAAGATTTTGCTAGGCACAAATATTTGAACAATAAACCAATGAAATGCCCTGTGGTATATTACCAGGCTAGAACCTATTTGGATATTGCATTGCGCTGCATCACCATAACTGACAACTACACCATCTGCTGAACTACGACCAACACCTACTTAGCAATCCCTGTTCATGTTCAGATTCGCTGCCCCGCACGCGTTTTCTCCAAACCAAGCTCTTACGCCTATTTCGTACCTGCTGTTCGGATGGTCTCCCGCCAATTGGGAAATATTCCCGTTCACATATTTATCCATCTATCTACGTAGCTTGTCCCATGTTTCACACTTGCCTGTCGTCCGTTCATTCCCGTATTTGCACACACCTACCTAGTGACAATAAACCCCTTGAAGTCACTCGGGAACCTAAAACATCGTACCCTCTATGCGCGGTACAGCGAACTCGTTACTGCGTGTGGTTTTGTTACCTAATATAAGCGGCTGTGTGATTCCTCGGGCGGACTCTTGTTTTCTAGCTAAGTCCGTAGGCTTCAAATACATTGATTTGCACTGTTATCGCATACCTTACAAAGGATCGCTTTTTTCGTACTGAGCAGCATTATTGCTGTGTTTCCTTTTTAGATTTTGTTATCCATCTGGATAATACCGTAGTGTACTGTTGGCTTTGTTTTGATTTGCTCTGCGTGATTCGCCAGTTACTCATTTCCCAGTAACACCTCTCTGTAATACAACTGGTCAAAAACATAAATTTACTTTCGAGCGGTTCAGTAAAGCAAGATAGCATTAGAGAGGTTAATACCGAAAGCACAGTGAAAATCAGATTGATTGACTCTTTATTACGACTTCTCGGGAAGTTTACTCTATCGAAGATCCAAGTGCTGCAATCAACGTAAAGCATCTTAAAAGCAAACGTGTTGCGTATCCAAGTTAGGTCACAGTGATTTGTTCTGCTTCCATGCTATTGTCACGAATTGCGATCCAATCCAATGCGACGATTATTGTCCAAGTGAAGGGTGAATTGCATGGGCGTAGTGACTTGATTGTATTGATCTGTTACAAAAATGTATAGTTTATGGAGGAATTGGCGGACGTACCTACGGAGGTAACTCGCAGTGATACACAGAATGAAGTTCCGTGCTTGCGCAAACCGCCAGCTTCCTCAATAGGTAAACATCTACTGACTACGCGTCACCGGATAGAGCTCGGATCAGCGTTCACACTTGTATTACGTCACCCTAATCCCCGCTTCCTCCGTTTCGCCGAGGCGGTTGCGATAAGCCGGATGAAGCCGGCCCTGTGTGTTCAAAAGCAATTATTTATCAGCTTAAGACTGCCGTGGACATAGGTGTGGAACTTCCGTCATTCATTTTTTCACCTTATGCTTATTCGGTCACACACATATTTAAGTATATAGTTGCATACCGGTTATTGTTAATGGTACTGAGGAGACAATACGAAATGCATGCATCTACCAGTTTTCGTCTTCTTACCGTGCTTTTCAAATTTAGGTCTGTTTGAAAACGAGTATAACCGGTAAATTAACCTAAGCGAGCATGTGGTTACCTGGTTGTTGATTCAGGTTTACATAGTTGTTTGTGTGGCTAAGACATGCCGTGTGTTTTGGTAGTGGCAAGGCAATAAACAATTGCTCAACGCGGATATTCTAATTACATTTGTCAATTCAATGCATTTAATTCACTTCAGTCGTTTGAATATTACCGTGAGAACACCAAAGCCGGTTGATACATTCAATTCTTTCTTTCCTTCTCATTACGCTAAACAATAACCGGTATGGATGGTTGTAACAAAGCTTGTAAGCGACCAGACAAGCTCGGGGAACCAATTCACGCTGTATATATCGATACGTATGTAGCAGAGGAGCCATTTACATAGGCAGAAGTGACAGGCTCCTGAATTCTGATTAAAGGAAAAAGTGTCGAGATGTGTACATCTTAAAATTGCCCAGACACCCTACCCTAGTTAAATAGCGCGCTCGTCTAGCCAGACGGATTCCTTGATAAACAAACAGTTTCTGGTTTCTGGTCACAATTCTGTGTACAACATTACATTTTTTCGCGCTACTCCGTTACTCATCGGTTTCCTAAAACTCTTCCAGTATGCCAGAGGAAAGCTATTCTGTGTTTTGCAAACAAATATTCACAAAACTTAGGCTTCTCCGGAAGTACAAGTGGAAATTCCCTAATTCAATCTGTAATTCAGTATAGTAACAATAGTAATGTACATCTTGTTTTCTGCCAAACCTGCCATTCGACACGTTCGTTTCACTTGACAGCGAAGAGATTGTCTTAATTATTTGTCCGTAGTGGCTCTCCAGATGAATGCATTTTTCTGACGGAGAACATTCTTTACCGAGGGAAGAAAGTATTCTTTTCTTTGTGATGTGAGATTAGGTTCAAGTGTGTAGTGACATGAAGAAGTTTGAAACTTAATTTCAACTGCTTTCGAGATAACACCTAATTTAGACAAAACAATTTCCTATACATTGTAGCCTTTAAAATTGTGTATTACAAGACGGAGGTATTTGTCTTCAGATTAGCAGCTTAACCTAAATGATGCGACAACCAGGTGAGACTGGCATACCTGTATGTAAGTAGAACCTGTTTGGCATTCTTCACCCGGTCCACTTGTTTGATATCAATTGTGCGCTAGGCGCATGAGATTAGGGGACAATGGAAAAAGGAGTATGGATGACAACTTTTGAAGTAAAATCAGTTAGCTTCTCCTCGCTGTCAGATATTTCGGCATGTTTTACGACGGAAGCTTTGACGTAACAAAGTGAACGAATTAAACCTGCAAGTAAAGTTGGATAGAAAATGTTTGTTTCCCTTCCGCTTCACACATAGTAGTACGTTGCAACTACGCATTGCTGAATAAATAGAAGATGAAGAGACGCGACAGAAATATATGGATTAACTTCATTTTTCAATTACTACAGAAATCACGCATACTAGTGAGAGCTCTCAATGATGAAAGCCCTTTACATTACACTGGAACAATGGAACACTGGTATACTACGTATAAAAAAACCAAGACTTGATAGGTCCCGTGGGATGGTTGTGGGAAAAACGTTAGTTCATTTAAGTTACACAACAGTGCAAAACACATCTGTAGACTCACCCTATAATCCACGTTAACATGTAGGTATATCCGTCTAACCAGATTACGTGGGGTTGGTGAGCACAGTGTTTGTCTGCGTCTGGTCGTCACTCAATGAACAGGAATTAGATCAATTAATGTTAATGGCGTAAGGCATCATCGAGTCGTTTTTTACAAATGGGTAGCATTGGAGCGAAAATGACAAAACTCGAAACAGCGTTCCACGGTTGCCAAATTCGAAGAGAAAAGTAATTCCGTCGGCACTCAAACCGACTGTATTGGGTGGCAAGTTTCATTTTATGACCCCTCTATTCTCCGTCGCAGCTAAGCTTCAGTTGGTCTCGGCAAGCATGACCGAGGTTTTTCAACATCTAGAACGCCAGGATGAGATCACCTCGGAGACGGCGATATCTTCCGCTGTACACTCCCCGGGCTTTCAGTTGCTATGGTATTACAGGTGGGACAAACCCTTCACGTTTTTCGTTGTTCGTCGCTGTGCGGTCTCCAGTGCAACCAGGTCGCCTTCTAACCAGGGTTCTCAAGCCTCGATCGTATACTCTACATGGGACCTCACATACGCATTGGACATTTGGACATTGTGGAACACCGCAGTCCACATCAATTGGCTCAGCAAATGAACCTCGAACTTGAACCAGAAGGTGCCGCTGAAAGAGGAATTTTCCGATCCATCTAAGGACAGGGTTTTGT